CAAGGCATTCATTCCAGCGGCAAATCCCAGAAATCAGCAGTGTTCTCAGTCTGTGTTTTTGGTGGGTCATTACATCTGGCTTAATAAGTGCAGGGCACATATACACAGAAGTACAATTCAGTAAAGCTGCACTATCTGCAACACCGGAGAACAGAGAGGACACCTTACACTGCCTGCTCCTCTGCACCAAAGCAGAACAGCTCTGGAGGAGGGACAACCACCAACAAACAGCAGGGACAAGACATGCAGGCAACCTCACAGGCTTCATGGTACCCATGGGACTACACAAGTGGATCGTAAGCTCTACAAGAGAATCTGGCCCCTGCTACTGTGGGCGGTATGGAAAAGGAGATGTGAGGACACACCTGACAGGCAGCAAGTGCCTGCCGAGGAGGCCTGCAACTGCTGGAAACAGAAAATCATGCAGACTGGCACAAGGAAAAGCGGCAGATCAAGAACAGCCTGGACAAACAGCAAATAATCAGGGATAAGTTTGTTCTTGGCCAGGCAGCAAAGCTAAGAAGCAGGAAAAGGGATTTGAACACTCAACCTTAGCATCGGCAAGACATTTGTGTTTTATTCTTCACCGGAGCTGTGTGAAAGATACCCTGGGGGAAGGTATGATTGGCACCCTGGAAGGCAACTCAATCAGGCTAAGATGGTGCACAAGCGACAGAGGAAGAGAAGTAGAAGTGAGTGCAGGACACTCCTCTGGGTTCACGGGTATATGCCTGGCTGAAGGGTAGCCCACCCTGCAGCCTGACAGTCAGGGGCTGCCTCTTCTTTGATTCAGCTCATGTAGTAGTGCTGCAAGATCCTTGCCGGATGAACAGTGCATGGCAAGCAAGTAATTGACAGCTTAGGGCACCATAGCCGCGAACAGGATAGCTGCCAGAGAGAGGAGACGGTGAGGACATTCAGAGAGAGATTACATGACCTGTATGTATAAGGGCTCAGTAGTAGTAATATGAGAGAGAGAGAGAGAGAGAGAGAGAGAGAGAGAGAGAGAGAGAGAGAGAGAGAGAGAGAGAGAGAGAGAGAGAGAGAGAGAGACCTTTTTGTCGTTGTTGCGGGCGGCCATAGCCGCTGAGCTTGAGAAACCTGTGTATATCATTTCAATGTAATTGTGTGTGTACACATATTGTGTGGATCTTGCTGTTGCGACTTGGACCTTGAAAGGGACACACACATAAGGTTTCAACTTTCAAGTAATAAAGGCCATACGTAACGACCTTGATCCGAGGATCTAGACCTTTTCAAGCCAAAGCTTTTGCTGAGATTGAAAAGGACAAGAGGATCAGGCTATCCGATAGTCAATCCTCCTGCAAAGAGTAATCAATGCTCGTTAGGGGTACTTCAGTCCAGACGGAAGGAAGCGACGAGTGGGTCATATCTTATTTTCCATAACGTACTTGCTGGTGGAATGGAACCAGACTGATGCTCCCCAGAATGAACAAGGGGCAAGGAACATAAGGACCTGTTTTTTTTCTTTTTCAAAGGAATTTCAAGGTGATCCTCAGCCAAAAGTGGCTGGAAAATTGGAAATGCAATTTATTTATTTTTTTCCCCTCAAGAGTCAAGAGTCAAAACACACACCTCTTTTTTTTTTCTTTTTTTTTTACCATCATTTTTTTGAAGATTTTCCCCTTTAATATTTTCTGGTGGGAGTCTGCGACGGCACTTGCTGAACAACAAAGAAGTTTGAAGACACCCATAGTGTTCTGGGGACTTGTTTGAAGTGCACTCTCACCAAAGAAGATGACTGTAATCATTGTAGCCTTCTTCAGATCATGGTATTCATTAAATGCAAACTGGATGTTCCGCACAAGCCAGGTTCCAACGATGAACATCGCTACATAGACTCCCATCATTGTTGACAGGACAGCATCCGCAGCACTATCCCACCTGCAGATTCCATTATAATTTTCAAAGGCCTGTGTGCCTTCTGCAACTGTCACAAGTGCACAAGCATTGAGCACATATAATGGTCAGTAAACCAAACCAGGATCATGTTGTCTGTTTCGTCATCTTCACCACCACCATTGTGCTGTGCTTCCTTAAGTATTTAGAATACGACAAGGTAAGGACAAAGAAGAGTAAAATCGACACAAACGGTCTAGCAATTGAGAGGAACTTGGGTTGCTGATGTAAGACAATGGCCTCAGCATGTGGACAAGACTCACCCAATCACTGACAGATCATCCCACTCGCGAGGTCTCCACCAATTGTGTAACTCAAATGGTGTTCTACGGCCACACAGATGCACTATTTGATCCGGTCTAATAGACACACGTATAGTCTGTTGCAGTACTTTGTTCATCTGCTCAGTCTGGCAGTTGGTTTTCGGGTGTCTGCCTGACGACATGGTCAACTGAGAACTGCACTTTTTTATCTGCTGCTGCCATGCTTCACTGGTGAATCTAACATCTCTCCCACTAACTATGGTTACAGAGTTTCCATTCTCTCTACCCCAAACAGCAAACAGCTGCATCACAGCTCCAGGCACGAAGTGCAGCCCCTTGCTATCCATGAAGTCAATAGAGACTGATTCTCCAGGTCCAGAGGGAATTGGAAGTGGTTTCAGTAAGCGTAGGGGAGCTAGTGTCGGGCTTTTGTCTCTTTGACAGCCTTTACACCCATATGGACGTACCTGCCCATATAAAGAACGCACCATGTCTGCTTACATCTTTTTCATCCAAAATGCCGCTCTGTGTCATGCCATTCTCCTAGGATCATACTACTGATCTGCTAATCATTCAGAATACACAGTCAGTTTTCTCCTCTGGATGTCAGAAAGAGCACTCCACCAGCCATCCTATATTCAGGTAAACTTGGGGTCTGTTCTTACGGTCAAGTACATCATTATGGGGTTCTTTGCGTAAGTGTTCCTGATTTTCTGCTTTAATTCTTGTTCAACATCGAGCTGTGTTACAATGGAACAGAAGTGGTCTGCTCTATGGGACAAGGCATCCGTTATGACATGATACTTCCCTTGGACTGGCTTCAATTCTAAGTCAAATACATCAATGCCTTGCAACCACCTCCCTAGCTTTAGTGATAGTCTAGCTTAAGTCCTTAACCAACGCAATATCTTGTCATCTGAGTACACTTTGAAGTGTCTACCAACGATATAGTGTCACCACATATTTCAATCCCTACTATAGTTCGTACAGCTCTCACTCACATGTGGGCGTGGATACTCTGTCACAAGGCAATCACTTTGACTAACTACTAGGTATATCCTTTGCTGTCATCCTGTGCAACAGCCCCTATCCCAAACTGGCTTGCGTCTATTGCAACTACAAATGGTAGGGAAAGGTCTGCGGTTTCAGAACTGGATCGTCTATCAATGCCTGTTTGAACTTCTTAAACCACCAGTACAGCCGCACCTAGAATCCCGAAGCTACCTGCCCACTATGCGCTGCTATTTCCCGAGCCTTTGGCGTGAGGGTACCTGCAGTGGGAATTTCGGAAGTGGCACCGGTGCCAGTGGTCCAAAAAAAAAAAAAAAAAGAAAGAAAGGAAAAAACATGCCAGAGATCAATGATGTCGTGGAAGGAGGTCACCGAGGCCATACTCAAACGATCACTTTCCAGAATGCATCTGACCACTATTATGGGGAGAGGAAAACATTGCTGTTTTTTCCTTTTTTCTCCTTTTGTTTTTTGCTTTTTTCCCTGCCAGCAAGGCAGCGAATATTCCTCTTGCTCAAAACGCCCTCGCTGAGGGCATACTCACACTACAGCCGTTGAAATGCATCCAACCACTCTCACGGCCAAAGCTTTGTTGGCCTTTCTTTTTTCTCGTTCTTTTTTTGTGAGTCTGACAGTCTGGCTCCCCGAGGAACTTCCGAAGTGCCCTCACTGAGGGCAGTACTCCAAAAAGTGTATCCAACTGCAATCACGGCCAAAGCTTGTTTTGTTTTTTGGGACGTACGGATTTGACATGGGCCCAAAATTTTGAAAACCTTCTGACGCTCCGACCCTGCCCCGAGCCAGCCTTTTACTTCTTGTGGCAACAAGTTATTTTGCTGCAAGGCGGAGGCCGTGTACTGGTGGTTTAAAAAACAAGAACAATCTTTATACCATTCCCAAACAGCTTATTTCTTTAATTGTGTAAGCAGTGGGGCTGTGATCGTAGTAGACTTCCGTACGAACTTGCGGTGGTAATTCACTTATTGTAAGAAACAGCGCTATAATATTCTGTAGGTCATCGGCATAGGCAGCTTTAAATTTTTGCTGCAGTTTGTCCTGCATCGAGGTAAGTGACTATATGTTGCATACTGTAACGGTGCAGACCAGAACAAGAACCGACCTCTCAATACAAAGTACAAGATAGCGTAGCGGAAGACTTGGATACCAATGATCCGAACAATCAATATTGCAATGCAGCCCTGAACATACATCATCATCATCGTTCCATGGTGTGAAAGGGGTCTGGCGCTTCACACAGGAAGACTGCGCCAGCCCCAACCATAGGGGAAGAAGAGATGGTGGACTTAGAAGAGGAAGAAGAAGAACTCTCTCTCTCTCTCTCTCTCAGTCCAGTACTAACCTGTGAAGTTGGCGCCTTGATGCAGGTACCTCGAAGATGGAGCTGGAGCTATGGCGCCACAGGTAAGTCTCGCTGGCCTCCACCAGCCATCTCTCCCAACTCTACTATCTACCACCTACTAGCGCCCAGCGCTGAAGACTACACCTACAGCTATGGGCGCCCAGCGCTGAAGACTACTGCTAGCGCTGAAGACTACTGCAGCGCTCCTCCTGAGTGCTGCGGCCGAATCCTGAAGACTACTCGTGCCTACTGTCCAACTAGCTGCCCGTGAAGTGCATGGGACTTCCTATGTACTACACGGCCTGCCTCCTGACTGCAGGGCGAGGCAGTCCCGGAGGCTGCTCTTGCCAGTGCCGCAGGGAGGCAGGGGCTGCCGCTGCAGCTCCTGCTTGAGCTGTCGTGGGGAACAGGCCAGAAATAGCCTGTTCCCGAAACCCTGTTTTTGTGCCCGAGTCTTAGGGTAGGTCAAACACAATGAGGGCATGAAAATGGCCCTCCGTTTCAGGCTGAAAAGCCTCTGGGCCTGAAAGGCCCAGAAATAGGCTGAAAACGGAATAGGGCCTGCAGGCCCTCGTTTTTCAGTTTCAGGCTGAAACGACCGGGGCCTGTAAGCCCTATTTCTTAGGCTTTTAGGCTGAAAGTGCGGGACGGGCCCTGCAGGGCCCGTGTGGCTACGCAGTATGCCACACCATAGCACCAAAGAAATCAGCTCGTCTGGATGACACGGGACAACATTGTACTTCCCTTTCACCGGCTTCAACTCGAAGTCGGACTTGTCTCTCTCGATTGCCCACATAGCCAACCTCGTGGACATTATAGCATGTGTCTACAACCATCGCAGCGTTTCATGATCCGAGTAGACTTTAAAGTGTCGTCCTAGTAGGTAATGTCGCCGGTTCATTAATGCCAGCTCCTTTTCATAGGTCGATGTGGTTACTTCCTTGGACGGCAGTCGCCTAGACATAAACTCAACTGGTCTATAACCGTTTCCATCATTCCGTTGAAGGACAGCACCCATTCCATAATGGCTCGCGTCTGTGGTCCAGATAACGATGGTGAGGGATTAACTATTTTTAGAACAGGGTATTCTATCAACGACTTGTTCAGTTTCTTAAACTTGGAGGTGCAGTCCTTATCCCATAACCACACTGTTTCTTTCTTCAGCAGTCTGCGTACGGAAGCAGCAATAGTAGTGAAGTTCCGTACAAACTTCCGGTAGTAGCTAGCTAGTCCTAGAAATGACCACAACTCTGTCAACATTCACAGTGTAGGCCAGTCCCGAATTGATGCAACCTTCGCATCCTCCAGTCTCACTCCATCCCCGTCTACCATATGTCCTAAGTATAGTACTCGGTGCTTAACCCACCCACACTTCTTAGGGTTCAATTTGATCTTAGCCTCCCACCCGTAGTTCTTAGGGTTCAATTTGAACTTAGCCTCTGTCAACTTACCCTACACTTTCTGCAAATGTTCACGGTGCTCTTCTAGAGTCTTTACTAAACACGAAGATATAAGTAGACTGCTATGAAGCAAGCATGCAGTCCCTAAACAAATCATTCATGCACCTTTCGAATGTCGCACGGGTGTTCGTCAACCCGAATGGCATCACCACAAACTCGTTCTGTCCGACCTAGTCCAAAAAGTGGTCTTATGCTGGTCTTTGGGCTGTACCTCAATCTGGTGGTACACCAATTTCAGGTCTTATCTTTGAAAAATACTTACATCCTTACAACTAGTCTAATAGGTCGTCGATCCTAGGCAGGGTCTCTTTCTGGGGAGTGAACAGAACCGGTGCATCGAAAGACGATGGCTTGATCCACCCCTTCTCTATCAATTCATCCAACTCTATCTCCAGTTGTTATAACTCTCGGGGAGACATTCTGTAAATTGGTCCCTTTGCAATCTTTCTTTCTCTCGGGCTGAATCTCAATCCGGTGCTTGATCTCTCTCTCAACTACTCTGTTGGGTGTCTCCCCTACATCTGCATACTCTTTTAACAATGTTTGCATCTGGGGCAGTATCTCTTCATCCTTTTCACCTTCACTCACCGGCTTCACATACGCCACAAACACTTGATACCACCTTCTCCTTTACTACTTTTTAGCGAACGTAGGTTCACTCATGTAGCATAGGGACAGGGCGAGGCTTCAACCTGGACTAATGGAACAGTCCGACTTGTTTCCTTCGTTACTAGGCAGCCAACACTCATGCACACCGAATTTTACATCTACCTTCGCCGCTTCTCCGCTATCTATCCCTAGCAATAAGTCGAAGGGCAAGTTGTCCTCCACTAGAAAAGTTAAGGAATGCAACACCTCCTCTATCTTCTCCCCACCCTCCAACTGGAAGTATGCCTTTCTTACTAATATAAGTTCTCATAAACCCAATGTCAACTAA